TCACCAGCGTGCAGTTCTACGGGAGAGACAGCTCATTTGTAAAGTAAGTTCAGCAAGTAACTTTGCCACATGAACCACTATGCAGTAACACAGCTTGTTAAACAATGTGCTGAGAGGGAGCGCAGGTGGATGGAGCACAGAGCACTATGATCCCATGAGAAACACTGAGCTGCTTGACACTTCACAAAGAGATTGCCAATTAAACTCCTGAACAAATGTGTACATTTCCACTAGCATTTGACAGCTGTTAGACAGTGCCAGAATGTCACTCAGCATTTTTCATGGAATCACAGCACGGTTGGATTGAAGGAACCTTAAAGAACACCCAGTCCCAACCCCTGCTGTAGGCTGGTTGCCCCCCATCAGATCAGGCTGCCCAGGGCCCTGTCTTACCCGGCCTTGAGCACCCACAGCTCTGGGCAGCAGTGCCAGTGCCTCGCCGCCCTCTGAGAAAAGAGCTTCTTCCTAACATCTCACCTATTCTTGCTTTACAACTGGCAAACACACATAAGCTGAACAACTCCCTAAAAGTTGAAGTGAGATTTGAGGTGTTACAAGAAAGCTTTTAAGTCGTGACCCTCACAAATCTGTCAGAAGAAAAATGGTAGGATTAGGAGAGAGAGCTTCGCTCCTTTCCTTAAGCCCGAAGACTGAAAGCAAGCTATTTTTCTTAAGCTTAGAAGTGCATGAGAAACTGTTGTCAAAGGGGCAGCTTAGGGCTGAAAAAGATTTTTTCCTAAAACTGCAGATTGCCTACTATCTGCCAGCCTGATCTCACTAATCTGCCTGGGAATCAAAGGAGGACACACAGAGCTCCCTGATGCTGCTGAAGCAGTTTCTATCACCAGTTTCACAACCATGCCAGGCCAGTTGTCTCGGGCATCAGTTTGCCTATTAGCCATCACAACTCGTAGGTTGAAATTAAAAACATTCATAATCACACTGCCTCTCCTGAAGGCACTAATGCTGAAAGTGTGTCAGTTTCAGCTGACTGGATGATTGGACTTTAAAAGAAATAAAAAGAAACACAAATGGGAACCAAAGCAAAGACCTGCCCATGGCCCAGAACAACCAGAACTCTATTCAGCAGTCAATCAGAATAACCATGTAGAACGTATCATTTATTACAGATTTACCAAGGAGCAGCTGACTGTGGGCCCCATTGTGCTGTTCAGAGGGAATAAATCTGCCACTAAGAACTTCCACTCTAAATCAGCACTTAAATCAAAATCCCTTCTAAGCCTGGTTCCTTCCTTCTGACCTCTAAAATCCAGGTACAGCATACTGGTGAAAAATAATACTTCATTTAGGCTACCAAGGCATAAGGGGAAAAATACAACAGAAGTCATAATCAAAACATTGTGATCAGTAGTGAGAAATAAACTCTGAAGTGTTTAGTCGAATATAAAAATAAGGATTTGCAGATGTTTGCTTTCTGTGCTGAAAAAGTGGTCAGGGCACAACTGAGAATCGCCCCAGTTAGAACAAAAACTTGATTTCAGAATCGTCTATTTTAGTTTGTCTCAGTCCAGTTACAGCTACCAGATTAGTTGGGAGGCTTCAGAAACTGCAATGAAGCCACCAGTAACTCTATCACACAAATGGGCAGATGCCAAGAAAAGCCATCATATTCAAAAGCAACTGAACTTGCAGCAAGTTTCTCCCCACCACGTCCATTTCCAGCACACAAAGCCACTCATCACTCCTGTACCTCTCAGCATTACAGCAAGCTGAACTCCAGAACTGTTGCTCTCCACTGAAGCTAAGCCTTCGTGCTGAGCGGATCACGTAACATGTGAGAAACCTTCTGGCGTGCAATCACCATCCAAGATTACCCAAGCTATACAGTTTAATCTAATTATGATTTTAACAACTACAGAAGCTGCAAATAAACAAGTGACACTTAAATGCTCAAGGGCAAAGCACCCTCCGCATTCCACCTGTGCACCTCAAAATCCCCATACAGGTATGGAGCTTTGCTGAGATGAGCGCTAACAAACCAGGGAAGGGCAAAAAGCAACAACGTGTTGATGAAAAAGGCAGGAAGCAACAACATGATTTACAAATCATGTTGAAAAATAAAAAAAAAAATGATTTACAAAGAGGAAACCAGGCCTTCTGTACATACAAACTGATTCAGAAGCTCTGCAGGAGGGCTGATGTCGTGCCTTGCACTGAACAGCTCTGTACCAAAGCCTCCAATCTACAAACTTGATTCCTCATTAACATCAAAGGACTGCAGAGATTAGAGCATGTGAAATGCTTTGAAAAATGAAAAGCATTGGGCATGTACTAAGAATGATTAACACCCAACACTCAGAACAAAACAATTATTTATTCACTTGAAATTCTTTTACTGTAAAAATATTTTATTTATTATTTAAATGCATTTCATATTGGCAAAAAGAATAACTGATAAGCTGAGAAAACAAAAACCTTGCAGAAAAAGAAACATACAGCATAAGCAATAAAACAAGCTGTTTCCACATCTGATACCAACCAGTATGTCTCAGACTCTGCCCCAGGGAGACTCCTTCCAAGAAATGGATTCAAGCACTTTGTGTTCTCCAACTGGGGCAAACTTGAACCCTTAAGTCTATGAGACAGAAAAGATTAAGCCAAATGGCCAGAAATGCTTTCTTCAACTTCAATTGGTGAAGAATAGGGACTTCATTGGTTAAAGCTGCAGCCTTCAGAAAAAAAAAAAAAACAATATCTTTCCACTTGGAAACTCTAAATTTTGGACTCTAGAAGATACATAGGTGTAATTGTGTCATTTTTTGGGTTTTCTTTTAATCCAACCTTCTAATCATACATAAGGACAACACACACTTTGAAGCGCGTGGTAAAGACAGAGTGCCAAACTGCACCTCGCAAAGGGGACATCCAGTTGAAATGTCTGACCAAAAATCCTTGCATTTAAATGACAAAAACCTTCAGAAACATACCACAGGTGGAAACTTCCCTTCTCTAAGCCTATTGTGCTGTGTTATATCATTGTCAGGAAGTAGCTGCAAATTTTTAATGCACGCATCATTCTTAACCTACTGGAGTAAAACTTTCCAACCTCAACAGATTTTGTTCCACTGACAGCACAGTGATCAAAAAAGCTCAAAGACTGCCTCTGACCTTTGCAAAAATGTTGTTCCTGGGCTCTGTTCAAGCTGCTGAAAGAGGAAAGCAGTTAGTTGCATGTGACACTAGTTTCTCTGTACCATAACGCTCTTGCCTTATACCAAGCGCAGCCTTTAAAGTCTCATCTCTGAAGAAAAGATGAACTTCAATAAGCTTACACTGTATGAGTAGGTGCTTTGACACGTCTATTTCTAATCCTCCAACTCAATGACAAAGAACTTATTTCCACCTGTGAATCTTCAAAGTGCAGATGTGAACTGATGCCTCCACATTTCTGTAACTCATTAATCCAAACTAACCGAGCTTTTATTCAACACCTTTACACCATTCTGAAGCACCACACAGGTGCTTTCTCTTAGGATGATTACTCCTTGTGAAGCTGCTTTCCATATGTGCATTTTGAGACCCAACAGAACGTACATTTTTAAGACATCAGAAATAACATTTTATCTGCTATTACAAAGCAACAGCCATAACTCAGGATCCCTCATTGTTTGTGTATTCTACAAGCCTGAAAACAGATGGCAACAGGGCTTGCAGCTGGCAGAATGTCTCCAAAGCTGAGAAGAGTTTTTCTACCAAACTTTATACAAAGGAAGAAACAAGGCTCTGGGATCCGGATCCCACATGTTTCAGCAGATGCTGTTTCCAGCTTCAGCAAGTTTTCATTCAGAAGCAACTGCTCCATGTTCAACAGTGCCTCAGGGATCACATACAAGATCCTGCCATCCTGTATAAATGAGAGGCCTGGTTTAGAGTTACAGCAGAAACACAGTGCACAGCCTTTGTATGGGAGAATGACACAACTGTGCTCTTTTCTCCACATCAACAGTTGTATGGCTCATGGTGGTACTACATGCAAAACATGAGGTGATCATAAGAGCATTTGAGTTGGAAGGGACCCTTAAGGGCCATTTGGTCCAACTCCCTGCAACGAACAGGGATACCCACAGCTCCATCAGTGCTCAGAGCCCCTCCAGCCTGACCTCAGGTGTCTGCAGGAACAGAACATCCACCCACTCTCTAGGCAACCTGTGCAGTGCCTCACCACCCTTGTCATAAAGAACCTTTTTCTTGCATCCAATTTAAATCTTTTTGTTTGAAACCATGTCCCCTTGTCCCATCACAACAGACCCTGCCGAACCATCTGTCCTCCTCTTTCTTACAGCCCCCTTTGGACACTGAAAGGCTGCTCTCTGGTCTCCCTGGAGCCTTCTCTTCTCCAGGCTGAACAGCACCAGCTCTCAGCCTGTCCTCCCAGAGGAGGTGTTCCATCCTTCAGATCGTTTTATTGGCCCTCTTTCGGACACATTCAAACAGGTCTGTGTCTGTCGGTGCTGTTCACATGTGAGTGTAGTGCCCCAAGAGAGGCCTCACAGACCTCAGTTCCCAGATTGGCGCAGGTGGACGGTAACCCTAACGCTGGGGTAGAACCTACGTGAAAAGACTCCGATAGATAGGTGCATTCTGCAGGTGGGAGGCGTCGCTTACACAGCTTTGCTTCGGGAACGGCTCAAACCCACGGTTATCGCTGCAGCCCCACGGCAGCCCAGGGTCCCTCGGCTTCGTTTTGGCAGCGCACACCTCGTGCTCGGATCCCAGCTTCCCGCAGGCCTCGCCCCGCCCGCCAGGCCCGATCCCCGCCGCCGCCCGGGGCCGTTCGAAACTCCTCACGCCTCCTTTGCACAACGCCATTATATAACGATAATCGCACGGGTTCCCACGCCCAGACCCAATTCTGGCTGCCGCTCCTCCCCATCCCGCGCGGCCCCGCGGCCCGGCTCGCCTCACATCACCGCTGCCGGGCAGGAGGCACGAAGGCCGCGAGGCCGGGTTTGCGGGCAGCCCCGCCCGGCCGCACTCACCTCCTGAAGTCAAAGGGCATGGTGCTGGCGGGCGCCGGGCAGGCTGCGGGCCCCGCCGCCCCCGGGCCCGGCTCTCGCCTCGCTGCCGCCGGCCGCAGGGCCAGGAAGTGACGGCCTCGCCGCCGCGCAGCGCTCAGCCCATTGGGCGGCTGGGGCCGGCCGCCGCTTCCGCCGCCGGGTTACGGGTAGCGGCGGGAGCCGAGGAGGTCTGGCGCTGCCGCGGCTTCGGTGCTGGGCTCGGGGTTCGAGGCGGCCGCCCAGCAGCAGCGGAAAGGCGGCCGGCAGCGCTGCCTGCGGGCTGGATGAGCCCCTTGGTGCCAGCCTGGCTCTTCGGCTTTCTTTTGAAAACCTTTCTGCGTTTTTTTATCGGAGGACAAAGAGTTAAAGTAAGAAAAAGCTCGCTGTTTCGCAGGCGAGGCGTTTCCCCGCCGCCTGAGCCTCTCTGGTCTGCTGCCTTGCCGTTTTGCCCAATGCTTTTGTCTGACGCTATCCCTGCCGGCTTTAACGCGGCACACATCGCTGGTCTCACAGCGCTGCATTCATCATCCTGCACCCAGGCTGTTCCCTCAACATCCCATCATAGCCTGAGCCAGGGACTTCCTGCTGCAGATAAACTGCGCCCAATGCTGCGATAAGGAGTGAAGTGGTGCCTTCACGCTGTGCGTGTTAGATTGTAACACAGGAGGAGAATGCAGCTTTGTCTTCTCAGCCTAAAAGCAGAGCAAGAGAAAGAGAAACAGCAGCAATCTAAATATGCTGTGTGCATACTTCGATACATACTTAGACAAGCATACTGCTGTTCTCGTTGATTCTGGAGCTTTCTTCCTCTTCCACCCGCTGTCATAACCTCCATGCTTAGAAATCCACATTTTCCCATTCTTTGCTTTCACCCACAAGCCAGATCCACACTTGGAAAAAAATAATAATTCAGATCGAAATAAGTAGAGGAAAAATACCTAACAGTCAGAGCTGCTAGTCAATGCCATGCGCTTTCAAATGAAGAGATAATTCTTGATGGGGATATTTAAAAATAAAGTGGAGGAGTCCTGGGGTGAGATAACAAGGCACGATCCCTCAAAAGCCCCCGGGGAACAGATAAAGAAGCCTAATTGGCTTTTTGATCTCAGACATCTAAATTACCCGAATTGCATTGTGCAAGTGCATTCAGCAGATTGCAGACTGGTCAGCCACCAAACCCTGTTGCACTGTGCATTGTGCTCCAAAATTGAACAACCCACTGAAACTAATGAGACAGTTCTCATCTCTCAACAGGTCAAACTAATTGTGTAGACATAGCCAGGGGGTCTATCTGTACTGGAAAAACAAAACAAAACAAAAAAAACAGCAACAAAACTGTGCCTATCAAGCTATAGTTGCACAACCCAGTGCTAGTCTGAGCTCCTGGCAAGGCCCCTGTGTCGTTAGCTATTATTAACCATCTTGTGCAAAGACCAAGGCAGGAGCCAAGGCAGTGCTAAAGTGGTTACAAAAGTATTTAACCTGTAGGATAGACAAATTGAGAGGTTGCCTTGAACACTCATTCCTCTGTCAGACCCAAGGATTGAGAATGCCAGACAGTGAAAGCTCACATTGGGAAGTTTTGTTTCCAACTAAAAGGTTGAACTGAAGAAACTGATGGACACAGAGCAGTGCCAAGACAGCTTTCCAGTTCGATCCAGTTCACTTACATCCTTGCCAAGGGAAGAAGAAGTTAATGCCCTGAGATAAGACCCTCATCACAATGTTGTTTAATTACATAAGACTTCTAGTGAGCCTGAGATAAGCACAGGAATTTGTCCTCAGTCCAGCTGGGTGCGGCTGCTTAGATCATGTTGTGTATTAGAATGAGAACTGAAAGCCCGGGTTTATTTGAGGTGCTTGTCATGTCGTTAAAGCTGGAATAAATAAACTGATACTGACAGCTGATTTAAAAGTTATCTCTCTTTTTTCATGTAGGTGATAGATGAACATTTACTAATAACAGCAGCCCTAAAATTATCTATTGTTTCTCTTCAAGTAGCATTAGTAACACTAATTGAGACAACTCTGAAATCAGCAAGTAGAAGTTTTCAGAGCTCTCTCCAAGGAAGAGGCTGAAGCAGGGGGGTGAGTTGGATGACTTAAGGCTACAGAATAAGGTCAGATTTACCTCTAAAATTAGCAAATACCAACCTCCCCCACCCCCCTATTCCTAATTCTGTGCTCATAGTTCTGTTCACAAGAAGGAATATTGTCCTGACTTCAGTTCACTTTCTTATAAATAAATCAGATCATATTTGACTCTATCAGGATTCATAACTCATGCTTCATAGAAAAAAAAAACTGCTGCCTCCTTCCTAGAGACAAGTGACCCACACATGCTTTATTTGAATCATCTTGGTAGCCCATAAACTTGCTCTTACAAGTAACGTTTTGTTTCTCTGGTTTTCCTAAATCTTCCCATTTTCTAGGTGATATGACATTCTCTGCTTTTAACTTCATGTTAATGCAGTTTATAGTAATCTGTGATGATTTTTTTTGATCTCTAACTTGTTAAAATGTCCTTGTTCCCAAAGAAGTGCAACATATCACCTTACCCATTCACCATAATGTTGTTCGATAAAACATCTAAAATGCCCTTGTATGATTTCCTCTTTTGTTTTGTTTGTGATTCCTTACACATGGCTGAGCTTTGTGTTAGCCCCTGGCTTGTGTTACCACTCCTGAGCTGGGAACGTACTGCAAGTGCTGTGACTGGGTCACGAGCAGCATTGTTTGCTAAGGGTAAAGCAGGGTGCATACAGTCATCGTTTAGGTCACCTTCATTTTGTTCATCAAGTGGGAATGTGCGGTGACTGTGAAGGAAGGTGCAGCGCTTATTCACTTCGCCCCTTCTGCCACAGCAGTGTTTGCTCACAGCTGAACTGTAGCTTTTTGTTTGGGACAGCGTGTGACAGGGTATGCACTGTGCGACGTTCTACCCTTGTGCATGTATTCACAGGATATGTTTGCAGCACTTGTGTCAGGGTGGGTTTGGGATTTAAGTGAGCACATTGCTACGCAGGGCGTGTTTACTTGATTATGTGTTGTATTCTGCAGGGCGTGACTCTGGCTGCATGAAGCACTGAACACAACTGCCGTTCAGGAAAAGGAAAAAACATTTCAGAGAATGAACAGAAAAAGTTATAAAATATAAATAACAGCATGTGAGGAAATACTTCTGAAGGAACAGGATGCGCCTGTAGGTGAAGAATTCAAACACAAGTGCTGTGCTAAGTATAATCAGCAATGAAAGCTCAGCCCTTCCTCTTAGCATTTTAGTAAGCTACTTGTTGGCAGCATTTTCTGAATATCAGGGAACAAAAAAGTGAGCTTTAAGTCTTCATGCAGTGTAGGATGTGGTTGTCATCCTACATCCTATAGCTATCAATCTATTGTGAGACTGCATCTTGAATGGACGATGGAATAAATTCGTATCGTTCAACTTATACAAAGGTCCTTCTTCACTGAGTGTCTGAGTTTTTCCCTTACAACATGAAAACAACCTCTCTTCTTCCTGCTCAATACACAGAGGTAGCAACATGATCATTTTATGGATCCCAGGGCTGCCGCAGGCACTGTGTGTGTGTACTTGGGAGGGGGCCCACACAGCCACACGGCCTCTTCCCTGCCCCATGACATTGAGTGAGCACTGAACTGGGCAGTGCTAATGGAAATCTTCAGCTTTTAAAGCCCTAGAAAATGTACCCTGTGTTTAATACGGTTTCTTTTTGCTTGCTTGTTTGCTTTAGTTTTTGGCATGTCAGGTATTTACTATGGCAAAGCCACAGTGAACACTAAGTTTTTATGTTTGCTTCCTTTTCCACTGTGGAAATGAACTCTGCGGACAAGTTCCAGCTGCTGTCAGTTTTGCCTCACACAGTCCCTCTGTATTGATCAGTGACCAGTGCAGTTTGGGAGACTGAAATCGTGCATAGGGTCACGGCCAAAGGCGATGGAGTTAACCGGATGCACGTTAACCATTAACTGGAGTAAGCAGCATAATCAAGGACTTTGAACGCAAAAACAGAGGGCCAAAAATCGAAGAGATCTTGATTAGTAACAAACAGTTCAAGTTTAGCACCTAAAGGAGTTCAATTAATTCAATAATTCAGTAATTCAAAGGAAGATTATTCTGTAGTGAGTTAAATGCCTAAATTCCCTGTACTTGGGAAAGGAATAATTAGGAGCCTAAGGACTTTTGCCCATGGCTAGTAAACTGAGTGGTGAGATGCCTGCATCAGCCAGCAGGAAATACCTGGGAGAAGGGGCTGTCTGAGGATGTCCCAGGGAAACCCCGACATGGAACCAAAAAGTGATTGTGGCTTTAAGTAAGTCACACATTTAGCATAAACACTTGAATCAGACTTCTTCATGGAAGTTTTCCTGGGAGATAAGGCACCGCCTCTGTTTTACATGCTCCCAAGTCCACTTCTGGACCTTTGAACTGACAGGGAGTGCTGTGAGAAACTTCCAGCATTCAGGGGAAGAAAGGAGAGGGCTCTCTCAGTGTCGTAAAGCTGAACTATTGTGTGACCAGGAGTGTGAATTGTCATGCTGGAATAGGATGTCTGGTTAGGGCTCTTCTCTGGGAAACAGTGGTGATGGTAGGGTAGGATACTGGTGATACTGGGCTGGGGGGGTCCATGACTTACTAGTGGTAAATACATATAAGCATAGAAGCACTTCCAAGAGTTCCTTCCCTTCAGTCTTGTCCTCGGTGTCATATTTGATCACAACATGCTTAGTAAATTGGGTCCTTTAGGCCTTACTGGCAAAAAAGCCCACCATATTTCAGGATGGACTTAGGCGAGAAGTAGGGGTGAGAATTCAGGCCAGGCAGAACAGCGAGGCTGCTGGGCACAGAAAGTCAGCAGACCTTTAGGCGCCAGAGGAAGCTTTCCCCAGGATTTGTGGGCTCTTAGAGTAGCGGCGGGAGGGAGGCCGGGCTTTCCGGGGCTGCTCTCAGGAGCACCGGCGCCAGCAGTCTGCACAAGTTGCACTTCGGTGCCTGAGTGCTATTTTGGATCTCTCCCAGAGACCTCGTACCAGCATCGTG